GCTGTGCCAGGAGCTGGGCAGCCAGGCTTTGCTTCACAAGGCTGGGAGAGGCTTCATTTGTTTCGTGCAAACCAACTCCCAACTTGATGTTCAGGGGTGAACATGTCCACGCCTGGTGGACCAGGCCCGACTACCGGCTTTCGTATCGCACTGCAAGCTTCCGATTGAAGATATACAAACTTGGGCTCAGGATGTGCCACGCCGTTCTTTCCTGCTACAGGCTGGGGACATTCGTATCTCGCTCGAAGGCAATTACTTTAAAGATCATGTTGAGGACCTGCCGCGAGCTTTGGTGGAGGCTGAGGATGTTGTTGTCCTGCCTGGTGGTTGTTCACAGATCATGTTCAGGAGCTGCCGCGACCATGAACATGCCTTCAGGCAGCCTGATTTCCGATCCTAGTGTATGATTGTTCTTCATACATTCCTATTTGGCAGGTGCCATGCCAGCAGACTTTGGTGGAGGCTGTTCTTAGTCCGTTGGGTGCCACAAACTGCAAGTATTCATGATCAGGAAATCCCGCGACTATGCCTGCAGGCAACATGGCCATGAGGATGTTCCGATCCTAGTGGGTGGTTTTGCTTAAGTTTCTATTTGGGAGGTGCCGCGACACCTCTGGCNNAGGCTGTTCTTATGCCGCTGGGTGCTACTTACTCTAGCTATTCATGATCAGGATCTGGCCCGATGATGACGAAGCCTGACGGAGGCCGAACTTTTTCCTATCCCGCTGGATAGTACTTACTTACAACGCCAGGCCCAGGAATGACACACGATGTACCCGACGACGGAGCCCCGCCTTCATCGGCGACACCAGGCTGGGATTGTTCTTCTCCTGGTGCATGCACACTAGTTGGTGCTTACTTGACAATGCCATGTTTAAGACCTGCCAACCCTGGGGACAATTAGTTTAGTAGTAACTTCTCAGGAGATGCAAAGAACGCCAAGCCACCTGCTGGTCGAGGCTGAGGTTCTTTGTGTGTTTCTTCACAAGTTCCAGACATCTTCCCTTGGTCGTCAGGCATGCCAGCCGGATGGTGGGGCGACTACCGGCTTTGTCCGAGACTTGTTGCCCCCTCTTGACGTCTGGATTGTTTCCTCTCTGTGCCTGAGGCAATACCTGTGGCACCAAAGCCTACATGCGAAAGGGCTGGTGCAGCAACCCGAACTGCCGGCTGTATCGCCAGGGCTAGAAAAGAGCGGCTTCCTTCTTCTGTGTCGCGACTTGAGTGTTTCATGGCATGCTTTGCAGCTCACGAACAAGTTTGATTGGTTGTTCAAAGTCGAAGCACCTCTGGCCCTGTACAGGGCTGAAGGCATTTCGCTATTCACAAACAATTTTGCTTGATCGTTCGCAGCTTGCTGGTAAAAAGGGTCAGCTAGCAAAATTGATGCAGACTGGCATGCCGATATAATAGGACACGGAGTTTAGTAACACAGCAAGGAGTAGTGTAGGATGTCATGTATACAGGCACAGTGTGAATATGAACGTGTGTATTTACATACATATTGCGATGTACATACAGCGATGTACATACCCTCAATGGCTCATGGATGGCCGAGAATCTTGCTTCTGTGGCCGAGCTATCAGAGTCTGCATCTGAAGATAGGCCGGAAGCAGCTGTGCCCCCGAAGGGCAAACGAAAACACACAGCTGAATCCCAAGACCTTGTTCTGGATTTGAAAACAAGCTTCCAGGATGCAGTATGTTTTTGTGCAGCAAGACGCAAGAACCCCGGCACCTCCTGCTACAAGAGCTTCTTGGAGGACTCCGTGTGGAAGAGAGTGGTGGCCTGGAGAACAGCTTTTCGGCAGATGCACAAGCTCGATCAAGACCAGTTGGCCACTTGGTGGGCATGCATGTTATGTGGAGCTAGGACCTGTGTTCTGAAGTCCTGCTAGTAAGCCTCTAAGCCAGCACCCTAAACCCTAAACCCACCTCTTTTACTTTGTTCGCCTGATCGTATCCAAGTTATTCGACATGCTTCGAGAGCTCGCACTGAGCCAGCAAGTGATGTTGCCTGGTTCGGACGCCCAGGCTGTGGACGACGAGTCTGTTCCGAAGAGTGCCAATTTGAGGTACAGTTTTTTGGGGCACCGAGTGTGCAAAGAAGCTTTTGCTGCCTTGCTTGGAGTGGGGTGGAACCCTCGCCTTACAACGATGCTCAAGGCTGTTCTGCAAAACCGTCGCTCCGCACCAGTGGACCGACGATACATGGCACGACCGGAGAATGATCCGAAGCCAGTCTACGGCGAAGTCGTCTCCTACCTCCAAAGTCTCTACGAGTCTGTGGCCGAAACCCTGCCCTTCGAGCAGGCAGACGACGATGCTGATGAACCAGACGTTTACCGAGTGAATGCTACAGTTGGCGACGAGCTGAGGTACCTCCCGCCGGGGAGCATGTATGATACCTGGCGGCAGTACACTGCTTCGGCTCCGACAACCTGCAGCTGGCACACCTTCCATAATGCATGGACAAAAGAGTTCAAGCATAAACTGACGTTTCGCAACAAGTACACGTTCGGGATATGCCCCACGTGCCTTAAGCACAAATTGCTGCTACGACATTTAGGCAGCGATGCCGTTGCTCGGCATCGCCAACGACTTGTCTATGACAGACACCTCGCTGCCCAATTCGCTGACCGCCGTTGCTATTGGGCCATGCGAGCCAGCAGCAGACTGCACCATCGGTCAATAACGATGATCGTTGACGCTATAGATCAGGCCAAGTTTTCGTGTCCACGGTCCCCTATCTTCGGTCATTCCTTCGAAAAGTATTGCAGACCACGTCTTCACGTCTGGGGATTGATCTGCCACGGCTGGTGTGCACACGTGGCTGTGAGTGATGCAGACACAAGCAAAGGTGCCTCGACGCTGGTGGACCTGGTCCTTTTCGCCCTGGAGCGACTTCGACGGAGGGGTGCACGCCTGCAAGAGTTTGAGCTCAACATACAGCTGGACAATACAGCCTCCTGCAACAAGAACAACACTGTCATGGCCATGGCCGCAACCCTGGCTTCGTTGCAGTTGGTGGCCGTGGTGCGGCTGACCTTTTTAAGGGTCGGCCACACCCATGAGGACTGGCCGTACAAAGCACATCAACAAGCCTAGATTCCTAGATTCTGCCAGGACATAGACCAATGGCTGGGAGAGTTAGCGGGCTTCTCGTCCGCACCTGCTGCCCCTCGCCTCTGAACCCACCTCGGCCCTGAACCACAAAGTTTGACCTGAGGATTTGTTCGCAGGAAGCTGCCTGTTTCCGAAACTCCGGATCTACTGGTGCAAGAGCTCAATGCTGGCTTCATGCGAAAGACCAGGACCCGCGAGGCAGTCAGGTCCGCTTTCAAACACGACTTCATAAGGGATTGGAAAACATATTTTGAGCACTCTGGAAAGCGGGTGAGTGGCATCTTTGGCCCAGCAGCTCCACATTTTTTCGAGTTTAGACGCCGTGACAGTTCCCAGGCTTAATTATTTCCTAGACAAAAGTTTTGGGCTCAGGCTTGGGTTTGGGGTTCAAGGTTTGGCCTTTATCATTGACTCACACGATTTCTTCTTTTTTTTTTGGGGGGGGGAGCTTGACTCGCCTAGTGGCACGACCGTGTCTGCAACCAGGCCTTGATGTCGAGGACGCCCTTGCTTCGCAAGGGCCTGGCAGCGATGTCTTGCTTCAGTCGCTGGCATAAACATAGACTTCATCCTGAAGCTGCCATAATGACTTGAACCCTAACCTCATGAAGCCCCTGACCTCGAAACGGTAACCCGAAAACACGAAAGTCGCTTCATCACACAATCCCGAAGCCCTAAACCCCTCAACCCTTCAAACCTTTAAACTGCGACTGTCCCAAACCCTTAAACCCTTCTGTCCCAATCTTGAGCTTTCCAGGAATGAGGGTCTATCTTCCTGTCAACAGCAGCACACTATCAGGTGCAAACAGTGGATGGCAGACTCAGCCTACACTTCACGATTGGTGTACCTCACTGGTGCCGATATGCTGAAGCTACCCGGATCCCATGCAACAGGCCTGTCACTTCCGCTAGTGAAGCATGAAATTCAGCTGCAAGACCCCGGAACAAGTTGGCTTTCCTGAAGCCCTACTAAGCCCTGAGCCCTAAACCCTAAATCCCAAAGATACACCTTCCGCTTGCTGTTTGGCAGGGTTCCTGCCACGCCGTCCGATGCCGGAGAAGTACAAGAAGATGATCCACGGCCTGGCTTCAGCAATCACCACCCACCCTTTCACCCTGCACCGGGCTGCTGCTTATCTTCGGGGTTGGGTGGAGGGTACTCTGACAAAAGCCGCACCTCTGGACTTTCTGGAGCTTCGGTCCCCTACCAGCCCTACCGCAACGGCTGCTGTGCACGCGAGGCCTGCCGGTCGTATGCAGGCCATGCCCCTGGAACCTGAGCAGAGTACAGTTCGTGTGCTTGCAGCCACCTCGCATCCTGTTGGCTCCATGAAAATGGTCCTGATCAACTCGCTGGCAAAATCTCTTCGTGATGATGGCATGCAAGCCTATGCTTCATACCAGCAGGCCTACCGCATGTGGTCCCTCTTGCCACCATCGGTTCAAACGGCGATGGAATCCTCAGAGGCCGGCACTGCCGAGACAGCCGACGTGGCCGAAGCAGAGGTCGATGATAGCTCCGTGCCTTTGCAAGCCGAGTATGATCGAGAATCCTAAGGCGAAAAAAGATGGGATTGCAGCAGAACAGACCCCCTCAACCCTAAACTCTGAAGCCCCAACAAATTGCAGGGTCAGATCAGGTTCGGTTTTGTGCTGGCGACTAGGATCCCTCATAACTCCACTTTCTTATTTTTGTATGCTGGACGACCGGAATCTATCATACTGGGCGACCAGGATTTATCATACTGGGCGACAAGAATCTATCACAAAATTTCTACTGAGCGACCAGGATCTATCACAAAATTTCTGCTGAGCGACCAGGATCTATCACAAAATTTGTAATTGGCGACCAGGATCTATCACAAAATCCACTCCGGGTTTTCTGTGCTGGAAGACAACGAACGGAAACAGGATCCAACACCGGATTTTGTGATAGATCGAGACACGATCTCTCACAAAATTCACTCCGGGTTTTGTGAGCTGGGCGACCGGGATCTATCACAAATGGAAAAAAGAACCGAACACCAGAATTTGTGATAGATCGAGACATGATCTGTCACAAAACCCAGGGCTAGAACACGTTTCCCCGAACCCGGAGACCGCCGCCGAAGCCGACGGTCTGGACGCAGCCAGTGTTTTGTGATAGAAGCAGACATGATCTATCAGAAAATCCCGAAACAAACGGCACCCTGGTTTGTGATAGATGACAAGGATCCGAAGCCGATTTTGAGATAGATCCCACTCCCTGAACCCCGACTTGGTGATAGATATGGGATAACGAACCCACCATTTCCGAGCTCCGATTTTGTGATAGATTCCACTCCCCAAACCCCGATTTTTGTGTAGGATCTGGGATAACGAATCCGCTGTTTCCGAAGGCCTACCGTTCACAGCCCAGCAGCACTGCCTACAGCTTCTCCAAAGGCATCAAAGCAGACACAACACACTCCTAAGTTGGCATTGCAGAAAACGCCAAACGCTCCCAAATCATGCAACTACTCCTAGTACTAGTCTAGTACTAAAAAACCCTAAAAACCTAAACCCCTAAACCCTAACACCCTACAACCCTAAACAAAACCCTAAAGCCCTAAACCCCTAAACCTTTGAGCGAGTGTGTGAGTCGAAACCCCAAAACCCTAAAGCCCTAAAACCCTAAACCCCTAAACCCTAAAGCCCCACTCACTCTCTCCATGTTATGATAAATCCTACGCATGGCATACTCCCTTTGCTCCTTTGAGACGATGCTATGCCTTTGGCCCTGTACAGGGCCAAAAGCTCCATGTTGGGGGAGTGCAGGATGCATTGCACAGATCGAATTTGCAATTTCAGAACGATGAGTCCCGCAGCTTCGTGAACACCAGGGCACAGGCCTCCGATCGTCGCTCCGATGCCAGAGTCCTGCTGTCACCGCATCCATCCCCTACTTAAAGCACTAAATGACTCGAGACCGTGAACCCCAAGAAGCATAGAGATAAAGCCCTGCAACCCCTAGACCCTGCAACCCCTAGAGCCCCGAGACTATGTCGCAACGCTTGAGTGCTGTGAGAGAGTTGCTGTTGCATCGTTCCGAAGTCTTTTAAATTTTCGAGCCTTGCTTGGTAGTTTCGTAGCAGCTGAGCATCAATGGGCAAACGTGGGGTCGGGTCGGAGGCTGCCACTAGTAAACCGAAACGGAAAGCTAGTCAGGAGCTTGGGGACCTCGACGTAACCAAAGCATTGCAAGCTTCCGAGAGCTTGCCGTGGTGGCCGAAAGCTGTGGAACTCCTCAACAAGATCATGTCGGACAAGGGTGCCGCAGACTTCTTCCTCAAGGAGTTCCCGACAGCCGAGGCCAGGAAGGAGTTCGCCGAGACTCTCAAGGACGCCTTCCCGCTGCCAGCGGGGGAGTCTTTCAGCAAGGACTACAGCCCGGGGATCAAAACGATCCAGACATGGCAGACTTGCTACCGTCCTCAGGGGGGGAACAAGGGCTTGATCCCCAATGAATATTTCCAGAACCACTGCATTCTGATCCTGCTCGAAGGAATGAAGACGGATGCAGCAGTCATCCCTGGTACGGAATACCTCGTATTGGGTCCACTCTGCCCCCTCTATTTCGATGAAGCTTGGGAAACAGCCGAACTCGAGAAGAATGCCTTCCAGGCACAGTCGGTTGGGTTCGTGAAAGGCTGGAGTCGCAGCTTGGCGATGTGCACGGTTGCATACATACTTGTGCAGCTCGACTTGGTGCAGTACTACCGTGACCACCTTCCTGCCCAGTTCCGGTCCTTCTGCTACATGAAGGGGATGGTTCCCGCGGAGGTGGAGAGGATCGCTGCTAACAGAAGCTGCTTGGCTACTTGGGGAAAAAGAAGACAAAGACAGAGAGATAGATAGAGAGAGAGAGCGAGAGAGAAAGAAAGAGAGAGAGAGAGAGAGAGAGAGGGAGAGACATAAAGTCCTAAACTCAAAACATCGAGAACCCCTATACTAGAATCTTGAGATCCCCTAGAACCCCTAGCCTAGAGCGATAAAGCCTACAGCCCTTAGAACACCGAAAAATCTTGCACACTCGCAAACGAGGAAGATTTTAAAACACTGGACAAACAAAAACTAACACCCCCTATAACACTCTCAATCCCCTGAAACCCGAAAGGCTCTAAAAGGATCCCAGCCAGGCAAACGCCGTGGCACTTGGCTACTGTATGTTGTCAGTGCAACACAACCCCCAACCGAACCCATAGTCGTAGCCTTTAGCCTGCTTTCTGCACCAACCAAGGCATGACACTCAGCTCGGTCATGACGCGAGCAGCACCCAATGCCTTCAATTCCTTGCACCAGCTGTACAGACGTGTGAAACATGGAGAGACGGTCGAAGACATTGTGCATGCATACCAGGCACCGAAGAGTGTCAAGTCCGTTTTGGGGATGGGCCCCGCTGAGAGCCAGGCCTTGGTGAACCTCGTGCACTTCATCCCGAAGCAGGCCCAGGCCATCCTGTCCATGGCAGCCGTGGAGTTTGGAATGAAACGAGGTGTGATTTCTCATGCGGGTTTGGGATGTGCTGCTATGAGGGTCGGCTATGCACCCTCCGACGTTGCTGCTCCCGAATGGAAAGAACGCCTGACTTGCACGTCGTCTTCAATCATTCTGTGCTGTGAACGACTAGTGGGTGACTGGAAGAAGACTGCCCCGTCCATGAGAAAGACAAGCGGCCCCACCGAAGTCACGAAGATGTCCAAGATCTGTCGCTGCTGGGAGATTGTCATCGCTCAGCTTCGCGGCCAGTTGACCTCAGATCAGTTTAACAAGAGTCACGCAAACTTGCACGAGGCTTTCCTCAATGCGAGCTTCGACGACCAGCTGCAGCTGATCACTGAGGAGTGCCCCGCTGTCGTGAACTTGAAAGACATCCCCGACATCGCCACCGTGTTGGAGCTGCACTCGACAGAGATCGAGAAGGCAGTGCTACACCGATAGGCTTACATACTTCCTATGCTCCTGTTCTGCTGTCCCTCAACAACACCCCAACTCAAATCCCTGACCCTGACGCTAATCCCTGAACCCTAAGGCCTAAAACCTGGCAAGAAAGACAGAGAGAGAGAGGGTATTAGGGAGAGGAAGGGGAGAGAGAGAGAGAGAGAAAGAGGGTATTAGGGTTGAGGGTTTTAGGGCATAGCCCAAACATGCCACAAATCCTACTGATCGCCTGGTCCAAAATTTTCATCTATCCCGCACCAACCCCTCCTGCTGCCCTAGGCGGCGATCGAAAAATCGAGGGCCTTGCAGATCCAGGTGGAAGCCGCCACCTTTGCCAAGATGGAAGAAGACTTAGCCCAGGACTTGCACAAGTTGGTTCGGTGGGCCAAGGAGGAGCATGCCAGAACTTCCACACAGGCTTCTTTGGTGTTGACACATCAGAGAAAAAGGTATGTCAAAGGTCTGCAGGCTGTGGAGGCTCACACGGAGCAGTGGCTGAGAATTCGGACCTGCAACATCGCCTCGTGGCCCATGGAGCTCGCAGACTTCCGGAAGAACCTGTTCGACAAGGTGACCGTGAGCCCGTCGAAGAGGCAACGAGGCTTCAGTTCATGTGGATTCAAGTAAGCAGTAGTGTTGTACGGTTTACGGTTTTGTCTTGCTTAGGGCGGGGTTTAGAAGCATTGGGAACCATTCGGTTTACGGTTTAGGCTTGCTTGGAGGTGGGTTTTAGCACTGAGGTTTATGGGCCTATGGGGTTTTTCGTAAAGGCTTCTGTAGGGGATGGATTTAATTCAACTATAGGTTTGTGTGGGACTGGGTTTAATCCTTCGGTTACATTATAGGATTTACGGTTCAGGATATGGCCTCTAGCCGGGATTGTAGGGTTTACGCTTTGGCCTTGTTTTTGGGCTCAGACTTGAAACCATTCAGGTTGGTGCTGATGGTGCTGGACATGTCCCTAAGCCCAACAAATACTGAGATCGATGACATGATCAAAACCGCTGCAAGCATTCTTCATGCCAGTGGTCAGAACGCACTCTTTGTGCTGCTCCCTCAGCAGTACAACAAGTCACAGTCCATGTCGTCTGTTCTCGCGGCCCAACGACGAATCGAAGACAAACTGATGGCTCAGCAAGTCAACTTCGAAAGCCATGTGAGCATCCACTACAACATCGAAAACATGCATGGTTCGGACAAAAGACGATTGTCTACCCAGGCACGTTTCGCCGTGTCGCAGAAGGTGGATGCTGATGCCTGGCTCGAGTCGACTGTGGCAAGAGGAAAGCTGGAGAACATCCCGCTACTGACGGTTCGGAAGATGAGAAAGCTCTCCATGCCGGGTGCCGTGAACTCTGCAGACCGATGGGAGTTGTCGCCGCAGGACCGGCTGATCCAAAGAGGGCCAAAAGCAACAGCAGCCATGATTGAGGGCATCGTGGCCAACTCACCAGCCAACGGACGAGACACCATGCTGACTGTCGTGGAGGCTAGGATGTCGCCCAACAGTGCTGACTGGGCTGAGGGATGCTGGCTGCTCCAGAAAGAGTGGGCCACCCAAACCGACAAACCCCAAATCTCCTACCTGGGCTTCTCCAAAGAAGCCTCCCCCGCGAAACCGCACATGCAAAGCTTGCTCATGGAGGAGTGGTGGCCTCAGCAGCCGCACGCCGGCACGCTGGAGCCGGACAGTCGACCTACCGAGCATCCGACACTGGCATTGGCCACGTTTCAGGATGGGGTCCCCTCGCTGCCGCCCATTGTGCTGTCCAAATTCGACGACAACGAGACCTACTCGACCAAGTGGAACACCCTGGTCACTGAGTTTCGAAATACCGTGAAGGCCGAAGTGATGCCCAGAATTACTGTCGTGCCCTCTCCTACAGCAAGCAATGCTGGCTCTGTTTCTACGACGGTGGGCCCCGACTTCAACTTCGCCCCGTTCCCGGAGCAGGCCTCCAGGGTGATCTTCCCGAACGTGCCGAAGGCTTCCTGGCAGGAGGACAACGTGCCGCTCGGAGGCATATTAATGTCTTCTGCTTACCTGATGAGAATTTGAGATCCGTTGCTTTGGTCATCTAGTTGTGTGGACTGATGTCTTGCCAGGCTCTTCTCCGTTCGAGGGTCCCGGTCAATGCCGGCGATTCACGTGGACAAAGACTTCCGCTTGTTCTTGTCAGTCGAAAACACACTCTCTTTGGATGGGCCCTGTGAGCTGTGTGGCTTCAACGTCGGCGATCTCCAAAAAGGCTGTACCCCGTGCTTGATGATGCTAATCATGTTAGGTGTTTAAAGTTTTTGCTTAAGTCAGTTCACGCTGTAACTTAGCAGGCTCTGCCCAGCCGAACCCCGATGACGTTGTCATGTGGGACTTGTCTTCGGATGTGGATAAGATTGTCGTGGAGATCGAGGAAGGCACCCGCAAGTTTTGCACTGTCGCCGAAGCCCGTCACTATGCTTTGACCACTCTGAACATCCCGGACATCGGCCTCCAGAACTATGCAGCTTCCCCTCTAAAGGCAGGGTGGGTGTTAAGGTGTTAGGAATGTACAGTGTGTCTCACATGGCCTATCGCATGGCAGGATGGGGACAGGGAGGTGTTCATGCGATGCACGCTGGAGCCCTCTGCCAATTCGTATTTGTTCTTCACCCCGTCCAATCTCTCAGACGATCAAGTAGCCGAGGGCCTTCTCAAGAGGGATGTCCTGGGTGCTGTATTCGTCGGCTGCATGAAGAAGCTCCTGGAGATGGAGAATGTGAAGATTGTCTGGAGGTGCATGTTCCAGACCCAGGTGCCAGCTATGATTAAGCCGGTTAAGCCCAAGCTCTTCCTGGCATGCAGCACACAGCTGGAAGCAGGCTTCTTTTACAGACTCACGTAAAGTTCTGAAGAGCCACCGGAAGTTCTTGAATTTTGCTGGTGCTTCAGTGCATGCTTGGATCTTCATGTGCATGAATAGATTAGCTAGAAGTTGCAAGGCCACGGTTAACAGTCGAGCATGTTGCTGTGAAGACCGTTTCTAGGGCTTCCTCACGAGGCATAACTTCACGCATCGTTCTCGAGTGACGTCGCCTTGAAAGTGCAGGGATGCATGACAAGTTTAATGTTTTGCAAATACAGGGCTGTTGCAGGGCTGCTTCCTCGAGAATGTAATTTTGGCTGATCATGGATCACGACATACCAAGTTCTCGACTCGCGACTCGCACGCTGCAAAACAAGTGCATTGGGTTCTGCAACAACCGTGCTATGCATCCTTCTTGAGCTAGACCGTTTCACGAAGCAGAAGGCCCGAGGATAGCTGGGTGAAGTGTAGCATCGGTGATCGGTGTGCTGGAGATGTCGTGCATCCAATCCGCCGTGACAGAGCTCTCCGATTCCGGATCAGATCAAGAGCCTGCTGTGGCGAAGACTTCCCAGCCCCAGCCCGCGAGCAAGGTTGTCATCAAGAAGCCGGTGGACAGCTCCAAGCCGCAGCCGAAAGCCACGCCGACCCAAAAGAAAAAACCTGCTGCTGCTGTGAAGCCCACGTCCAAGGCCGCAGGCAAGAAGCAGGAGCACGCCCCGAAGCCCAGCAAAACCGAGAGCAAGACCGTGGAGACCCGGACCGCCGAGGGCGAGCACGTCGAGCACCCAAAGACCGACGAGAACAGCAGTGGCAGCAAGGTGACCCCGGAGACCGAGAACAGCAGCAGCAGCAAGAAGACCCCGAAAAGGAAGATGGAGACGAACGAGGCCCAGAAAGGCTTCAAGTTGAGACCGTATACCGGGACGCATGCCATGGCGATCCAGCACACAACGGGTGAGAAGAAGCAAGTGCTGCAGGTCACTTTTCTCAAAATTTGTTTGATTTGGGGAATCTGCTTTAACACTCAACCCCCCCCCAACCACCGCAGATGTCAAGAGTCAACACATGTGCAGGTCAAGGTCAAGGGTGCCAGCATCCAGCAGAACACAGAGGTGGCTGAGGTGCTGCTGAAGCTGCTTCGCGATGGCCACCCCGTGCAGGAGGTGATGTCCATGAAAGAACAGCTGTGTTCGGAGCTAAAGGAGAAGCTGCAGGGTGCCAGCTGAGCTAAGGGCTACGGCTAAGGGCTTCTGAAGTGTTTAAAGCTTAGGAGCACAAGAGATGCTTCGGGATTTTGGTGGACAGTCTGATCGCTCGTGTGCACAAAACACCGCATTGCTCGCTAGGCTGTGTGAGTGGATGCACGTTTGGGCACAGGCCCTGTACAGGGCCAGAGCCCATGCAGATTCAGATTGACGGGGCCCTGTACAGGGCTCTGCCGAAACATCATCGCATGATTATGTCGGGTCGTCAGTCGTCGAATCGTCGATTTACGAGGCTAGCAAGTTATCGCCGCCCAACTTGACAACCGTGGCCCAATACCCTAACCAACCAGACAAACCAGACACAGACAGCCCGCCAGACGAGAAACCAGACATGG